AGAGCAGGGGGGCAGGAGGGCAGAGAGACGCAGGGCAGGAGAGCAGGGAGATGCAGGGCAACACCAGCCAGCTCCTCTGCTGCTCAAACCACAGTGCTTCCTTCCTTGACAATACCCTGGCTTCTTTCAGGAAACTGCGGGGTTTGATCTTTACGAGCTACTAAATGGGCTAGGAGGGTCACACCGCCTCCTCTCTTTTGTAACATGTCGTATGTTGCTTTCCTTTGTACCTGCTTTACACCTGGGGCGAGTCGGCCTGGGAACAGCTCAGGCAGAACAACCGAAAATCTCGCAGGACGCCGACGGTTGAAACCTGCTGGACTTCAGTGCCCAGGATGTAGGATGTAGGATGTAGGACCCCTGACTTCATTTACAGTCCTGTGTCAGTATTAGAGTCTACATACTCTAAGTAAAAGAAGTGATTTCTCAACAGGACTAAAAGAGCAAAATAAACCGTCATCCTGTTTTCTGTGACTTGCGTCTGACGAGCGATGTTTTGGAAAACCTGATTTCACCAGAGGCGATTCAGCAATGACGGGATGTGACCAGGAACTATGGTCCAACGTCCAGAAACAACCCCAGGACAGAGCCGTCTCTACCGCCCAGGGCCTTCAGAACAAACACAGCCAACAAGCTGGACCTCAGACGTCATCAGCAGAAGCCGATATCCTGTCGTTTCCTACCTGTAAACACAACTTGCACTGTCTAGCAATGATGTTCTAGGCATCACTATGCGAGGTGCTTAGTTTAATGCGATTATTTATTATTTATCACAACACAGGAGCTCTTAACACGCAGCTGTGCCATCTGAGGCTCCTGACCTCAGTGACTGGCAGTCAGCCCTGCACTCGCCTGCAGCAGTCAGAAACACTGGACCGCCAGTCTGACTGCCAGCCCCAGTCAGCTGCAGGAAGGGGCGTTGTTGTGCTAAATGTTATTTGTTGTGCACACACTGGGGCTGGGTTAATATTCAGAGCTTACTGTTTACTTTCCCCTGTGACCAAGAATCTACATATGATTCCAGCTGAGAACAGCAAACACATATCACCCTCAGGACGGTAACAGTTATTCCTGCTTATACTTATCAAATGCTGAAAGCAACACCCATGGCCTATAGCCCCTACAGTACCTATAAATCAATCAATTAATCAATTAATTTTATTTTTATATAGTGCTTTTCAGTACAGTGTTCTCAAGGCACTTTACATACACTCTACAATAAAAACGGTACAGTATATACAATATACAGTAAAAACATTTGATGGAGAAAATGTAAGTAAATAAATAAATAGATTAACAATCGAACAATTGATTAACAAGCTGTTCAAATTGATCCGTTCAAATTGAGCTGAGCCGGGCCACCAGATTGCCCGACACGCCCCTCACTCTCACCAAGCCGGGCCACCGGATTAGCCGACACGACCCTCCCTCTCACCAAGCCGGGCCACCAGATTGGCCGACACGACCCTCCCTCTCACCAAGCCGGGCCACCGGATTGGCCGACACGACCCTCCCTCTCACCAAACCGGGCCACCGGATTGTCCGACACAGTCGGGTTTATAATGGAAGCAGCAGCTCTGCATCTCTCTATCCTTTTAATTAGGGCACAGTGGCAGGTCTACTGGTCCCAGGGAGGGACCCAGCTCTTTCCTTCCTCTGCCACAGACAGCAGCGCCCCCTGGGGGACTCCCAGAGCGTCCCCGAGACAGCCCACAGAGACAGCCCTGTGGAACAGCCGTCAGGCATGAGCTCCAGCACAGCCCTGCCTAAGGGAATCCCTTCCAGCACAGACTGGCTCCGCCCGACCCCAAGGAGCAGCGGATCGGCTCTCGGGCCCAGCGCTCCCCAAGTTCGCACTAGAGTTCCCTTTCCGCTCAGCTGGGATCAGAAGAGCAGGCAGAACTCACAAGGACTCGCTTGCCTATAAAGAGCCATCTCCTCTGACAGGCGAGTAAGCTAGTAACCGACTCACTAATCCCCCTTTAAAGAAGGTTTAAAACAGCCTTTACCCTGCATCCCATAGAGACTCTCCCAGCTCATGAGGAGCTGCTCAAGTCATCAAGCTCCGCCCCCAGCGCAGCGCTGATGTTTCACACGCCTCGCTTGAGCCTTTCTGAAAGGAGGTCAGGGACACCCCCCACGGCCTGCAGGCGCTACAGCTGAGACGGTGGCGGAACCAGAACCGAGACAAACCGACCTGCCGCAGAACTCTCCCGGTTAGATCTCCGCTAGTGGCTGAGCCGGGCAAATACTGTGTGCCAGGGAGCAGGAAAACAAAACTGCCAGCAAGGAAACAACCAAAAGGTGCCCGTTTGAACCCGTGGCTTGGCTCTGAGCTGATACCGACCCTGGGATCCAGATGCTGACGGGCTTTCTGATCCATTCTGCTCCAGACACCCACCACTCTTCATGCAAGACTCTCCTCGAGTGCACAAGCACCTCGACTCCGCTCTCGCTGCAGGGCTGGGGAGAAGCCCATGACGCCAGACTGGCCCGACAGGAGCCCTCTCTCTCTGTGGTCACCTCTGGCCCGACAGGAGCCCTCTCTCTCTGTGG